AGTCCCCATCTTACATAACATTATTTCCTTTCAGCCATCTAAAACAAGGGAAGATTACAGCAGCTTCCAACGAAATATCTTTCACTTAACACAATTTACTAACAAAAGGTTCACAATATTTCATAAAACAAAAGTTTAACTTACTAAATGTGCGACTAACTTTATGAAATCCATTAGCTGTTAACTCTAACATGGAAGGAGAAAAGTAATTCCACGAGGATAAATTTCCTTACTTATAAATAATAGGTACTAACAAAACACTAACTAGATGTAAAAACACGCCTGTTACAGGCAGCCTGTAATAGTTCCAATAAAATAACATGGTTTTTATTTATATCCTCATTTAGATATTTTCCCGTAATTTTTATGTCATAACTGACAGTTGACGTTTGTGACAGTTACTTCGGGAGACAATGATATTTAGGTTACTTATAGGTTAGTAGTTAAACTGTTAATAAGATGTAGTTAAAATTTGATAGGTATTTTATTAAGTGAATTATCATCTATATATATTTATCTACAATCTATTTGAGACGACACGTCTACAAATCGACACAGACGACTAAATAACCCGCATCATTACGTGTTATCCGAGGCACGCAATCGTAAGGTAAACTAAAACGAAAAATAAATCTAAATCCGAATCCTAGACCAAATACCCACTTCCCTCAATCCACTCCAGACTTAATTAAATACTAGACTGAATTCCAAGAAATTTAGGCTAACAGACGTGACACCAAAAGTATTTAGGACGCGATAAAATTTATCCAGATGGTGTGGTGAAAAATGGCTAAACGAAATTGATGATCATAATGTTTATTTGTAAATGAACGTCGGTGTTATAGTTTTGGCATGACTTTTAATAATAAATTAGTGTTAGCTAATGTGATGTGTGTTGGCAGGGCTACAAGCATGCATATTGAAGAAAAGATTTGGTTTGCTTTTTCGTTGTTTAACCAATTGTTGTTGAATTCATGACCAATTTTTTGCACAATGTTGTTTATAAGAGGTAATTCTTAATACACTTTTTTACAGTTTTTATTGTACTATTCAAAATCTATGTCATAAGTCTAAATTACATGGTTTGTTAGTAGGTGTCAAGACCAATATCAGTCTTGCTTGAAATCGACCTTTTAAAATATTGTCACCAAAAAGACTCATAAAATGATTTTTTCCTCTAGCAAATTTGTACCAATGGACCATAAACACTATTATTAGGTTTTTTTTCATCGACACAAACAAAAGGCAGCGGAAGAGGCATAACTCTATTCTTTCTGACGTGCCTTTGATGTATGGGCTCGAATGAGAAATTGTTTCGTGTGGGTGAGTATTGTTTATTTTTCCATTTTTTTCTTTATGTAACATTTTGTCGCTAATGTTTGATATATCGCTTGTTGTTTTTTTATAGCTACTTACATTTTTTAATCTTACTCGATCTTATTATCAGACAGTTGTGGCAGAATAATATTTTTCTTTATGTTCGGGTGAACTAAACGCATTTGACAATTCATTTGACATTCTAAAATTCGAATACAGACAATTACGTCAATGAGAGGTGAAAAATATTTTAACGAAACAAAAGAGAAAAGTGAACAATACATTCATAATGATTTGAAGGTAAAAAAGAAATGTAAAAAGGTTAAAACTTACGCAAAAGAGAAGAATAGAGGCCAATTACTTATCAAAGAAAAGCAGGTAGTAAGATTCCCGTGGGTGTTACAGAACGACGGGAATGTTTACGAAGAATAGAACATGTATTCTTGTACATTTGACGACGGTATAGGTATCAGAATGACGCATTTATTTTTAACCTACGTTTTGTAGTTTAACATTAAATTTACGTAGGTACCTAAACTGCTTACGCAAATACCAAAAATAGTATCTGTAGTTAGGTAATATTTAAGTCTGAATAAATCATAATACATTATTCACTTACACGTGTACAACTTAATGAAATATTTTTTACTGTCATTTATAAATAGGTACAATTTAATGTTCATTAAATAAATGAGTTCATTTATTAACGCTTGAATTACTTACGATCTTAAGTAATGATAACGAACAAGGAAGACCAAAGGAAGGAACAGACAAATTAAGTCTAAAGACATACTTGTAAAATAATGTTGGAGCTCTTTCTCAAACATTATTGTTACATTTGCATACTTGGGGACCGTTTGCTGTATTTTACCAATGTTATTCATGTTGTTACACTTAATGAATACTCAAGCACATTTCCTCGAACACAAAGCATTACGAACTTGCTCATAATTTATGTTTCTATTGTATCACTAGCGCAAAATAAACAATGAGAACTTAAAGCGACTTACGAATGCTGTACGGCAAAGAAAATTTAGTTCCGCTACTCGGCACTAGATGGCGCTGAGCGTCCACGAGCGGCCCAACGCTTCGCAGAAACACGAAAGTACGTGCTATTTATTCAAATAACGTTTAATAAGCGGTGTCAAATTAAATTTTAAGAACAATAAGTTTTTGTTTAATAAATGCTTTGTGAAAACAAAATGAGTCTGGCAATATCGGAGGATTTGGTTTCAGCGAGAATCTAATTTCGATTACACAATAGAGAAATTAATTTTCGTTCGAATGTGTTTGTGTTAATTTACGAAACTAAACTATGTTAGACGGTTTTTTATAAGACTTTTTCTAATTAGTCGTGAACAAAGGCTAGCATAAGACTATAGCCGATTAAAGTACCAGAGCACGAAGTACATCTCTTGTTAATGAGGACTCTTATTTATTACATTATGTATTGGATATTTATTACAAAACCCGTGAGATTTTCTAAACAATATCATTATGTAATTAACTCTAAAATAGGTATCACTTGCACATGTCAATTTTCTTACATTTAAAGCTGCATGGAGAATATTTTCTCTAAGAATAGGAAAACGAGATAGAACCAAAACATTTTCTCCCTAAATCCCCGCAAGAAACGGAACAATATGGAAGAATGAAAGTCGAAAATAAAACATTGATAGCGGAGAGATGTCGAATAAAAATATACTAAGGCTTATATAACATAAAAAGATATATAAAAGGAATAAAAAGAAAAGTCCAGAGACACTGAAATCGTGTCTGAGAGTCACGTTTCCTTAATTCAGTTTGCCACGGTTAGCGGAGGCCACTTTCTAAAAAATAACATTTTAAATTTTTATTTCTATCCTTTGATTCCATTCAAGAAAATATCGCGAAAGATCGAGTGTACGTATTGAATTTTAATATTATTTACTTGTTCGACGTAGCCGTTAAATTTTATAGCAGCGACAGCGATTGAAAATTAGCTTCGACTGTTAAAAATTATGACAAACATAAAGTTTGAGATGATCGTATTGATTTATATGAATAGGATCATTTTGATGTACACATAAATAATCATCCAAATGAGATTCTAGAGAATAAATTCGATGTTTATGCCGATGTAGTCGTAAGCATAGAAACGAATATTGTTCTCACAGCAGTATTGGCTGTATAAATGACAATTTATTACTCTAATTTAGGCTATAACATTTTTCCTATAACAAAAACTAGCCAAACATGTTAATCGAAAAACATGGAGTATATTCCGATTTTTATGATTAATAGTCAGTAATAAACGGAATAGTGGAGGCGTGGTTTCAATTTTGGAGCACGCTTCGATATTAAACTCTTTTATGAAGTATCGCATTTTTTATGACGGACATCTTTAAATTTTGTACAATAGGATTTACGGTACTTTATTGTTAAAGCAAAATTGTATTTTAAGGTTTAAAATTTCCGCTAAGTCAAATGATTATTAGATTGCATTTCGAAAATATTTGAAGCGTTAATTCCACGATTATCTATTAATCTGTAGTAAGCTGTACGAATGTGAATTCATATCATTATTCGGTGGAAAATGTTTATTAATACAAAAACGTTTGCGTAAACAGAAATTTCGTTTCAATTAGTTGGGATTTGCAGTTGAAATGAGCGATTAAGACGTCCCTTGGGTTTGAACCGATTTCCATTCAAATGCTGTAGGCTTATCTGTTTTCATCGATTGTAATTGGATATGAAATATTAATGTATTGGAAAATGCTGTTTAGCTACAACTGTAAGCTTATTTGCCGTATTTATGTTAGAACTCGCCGAGCCTCATAACAATTTCAAGATTCTTATCTCCAGTCTGCTCGGGATCCTAAATAAACCTGTTTCAGACACCGTCTTGCTTTTTTCTACTTTCTTTACTGATGTTCTGAACATTAATTTTGTTGTTTGCGTTTTGAAAAAAGAAAGAGTATTTGTTACTTATAAAGTCGAATATATCTTGTACATTATTACTTTCTTTTGTGTCATTACTGGCCGTTATAAACTAAGTCATTCTCATTTTAAATCTGATTCCAGTTTCAAAATTACAATTTCTGTCGAGTTCCACATAAAATTCTAGAAATCAACGTTCAATGAGTCTTAAATCTCGGTTTTATTTTCCCCTGTGTGGTCCACTGTCCCCGTAATAGTTTTGGTTTTAATGAACTACGTACTAATTGACGCGGTCGAGTAGGCACGAGCAATAATGTCAAGCTAACTGAATTTGTGGGCGCCTACATCCATTGCCTCTAGAATTGGGAATTTATAACTATTTAATTTATCACTGCGTAAGTGATACTCTATGCGGGCGTCCCGTTTTCAAAGTTAGAACGTTTTAGAATGATTGACGAAGGTGCCGTTACATTTTTTCTGTTTCGAATTTGGAACCGACATAGACTAATGATCATGACTTCTGTGTCAAGTTCAAAATTATCAAAATATTTGTGCAACCGCATTCTAAACCACACCGTTATGATTACAAATGCTCAGCTTAAACAGACCCTACAGTTCATTCTGTTAGAACAAATTATGACGGCATAATTTATCTTAGCACTGTCATAATTACTCAGAATGCAAATTAATGGTAGTAATACTAATAAATATTCAAGATAACGTAACGACCACAATAAAGGAACTGTTCAAACAAATGTACTTACCTAAAACTACCAATATGAAACACAAACTAATGTACAAGATCATCAGGAATCTTTGGTAACTAATAAACTAATAATATCACACACAAGAACGGCAATCATCTACGCGATTGCCGAAATTTTATATCACAGTACACATCACTAACTACACTGTATTGGCCACACTGCGATCCCATCAGGCCATCACATTACAAGCACACACTTTTTGTATACGGGACTGCATTCGGCATCACAACTTTTTTCCGTTCTCCGTAACTTAAAAGTTTCGGTCATCGTACGTAATCGATGTCCTCACTGTATTTCACACTTCCCATCACTAAAACAGTATATAATACAAAATTTCAATCGACTTGGAACACTTGTGAATTGTTTAAATGTTTATTGTACGATAGTTTTGGGGACGCGAGCGGCAAGGGTCCGTCCCTGTCGGCTGTCTGGACGTAACTGCGTGAAGTTCGCTCTCATTGGTGAAGAATGCGCCGCGCATGGTTGCCACACCGGCCACGCTTCACTTGAACGCCGGCCGAAATGGAGAGGCGCACTCGAACACCCAATTTACAATAATCCCGTGTATTTTGAAAGCGGTCGCTTAATATAACCAGACACAGAGTCGTGCATTGTCAGTGGCGTCGGCCCCGATCTTGGCCGCTTGTTGCCACGAATTCTTCATACGCTTTTGGAATATGTATGCTATCTCCCTCGCACGAGCTTTCGAATGAAAAACAGGTAAACGCTTGGGGCCAACAACGGTGTGCAATGGAGATTACGAAACATCCAATTTTATAAATCGTGGTGTTACAAAAGGAGAATGTTCACGTAACTATGGAATTTCGTCTTACGTTGTTGCACAATAAATCTTTATTTATTATAGACCATACTTATTATATTATCGAATAAAAGCGTTCATTTTCCCATAAATATCCGGGTTTTTAAGTAATTAGACAAAAACGAAAATAACCTAAAATTATGTTTAAACTGTCAAACACCGTGCGGTCACCGGTGACCGCAACCTATTGTTCTTTAATTGTGTCTATAGATAACTAAACATAAAAACTAAACATAAAAACGTCTTGTCGTATGCTACATGGAACTCACGCTTATTTATTCAAAAGTTCAAAACAAACACTCAAACAGTGAAACAGAAACAGTTTTCCTTACAATCCAAATGCCGCCACTCTGTCTGTCACATGTTATGACAGTTGCTTCTGCGTGAGACGGAACACAAAAATAATTATAATTGTAACAATACTACAAGATACTAAATAAATACATTGTAAAATGTATTGATATTACAAATTATTTAGCTATTTATTGAAGTTGATATAATTTTTGTGATGATTTTGCCGAAAGGTTCTACTTACGTGATTCGTAAACACGAAGTTTTATTCGTAAGTTAGCACGGAACGTCAATGTCCTTGAAACGGAAATTCCATAGCAATTTTTATGTTACTATTAATCTTATCCTCATAATTCCGGATACGAATATACAATTCCTGAAGTGAAAAGGTTTTAAAAAATAAGAAAATCATTTCTATATTATTTTGATTTTTCAACTTGAAACTTTGCTAGACTGCTTTTGGTCAATCTCCTTTAACGCATTTTAATATGCATGCAAATTAAACGACAGCTGTGATATTTTGTGGATCATATTCGTATATATTTTTTTTCTATCGAATGACATTAATCGATTTCGTGTATGGTAGTTTCGATTGAATTAATTGCTCGACATAATTGGTCTGTTAGTGTTTTACGATGAGGTTTTTTGTTTATGGCATTGTCTGTTAAGGCTGCGAAGCAATTTATAGGACAATGCTCAAATGACTTCCTAATAGGATTGATATTGTATTCAATAAAGTTGAACGATACAAGTTTTCGTATAAGTAAAACGGATTTTTTACAATCCTTAATATCCTTTGGATACATATCATTCTACTGAATTATCTGCTTCGTCTTTCTACCTTCATTTTCGATTTCTTCTTTATCAATTTAGTCTATGCCTTTTTTCCATTCTTCATTATTAAGGCGTCATTTAACACAAACTTTACAACATCTATACATTTATTCACAGCATATTTTAAACTTATTTAGTTAAACCAAGGGACGAAAGATGCGCTGTGTTGTACAAAACGTGCAACAGAATTACTTTACAACTTCTTAACCGATGAATCTTGAATGCAAAGCGGAACATTTTTAAGCCGGTTTTCTTCAATTACAGTTATTGTTTGAACCTCAGTTAACTTTGAAGTGAAATTGGGTCGTGTTATAATTGAGAACTCTGCTTGATCACTTTTTGTATTAGCTTCCGAGTGAAGCTAAACAATGCGTGCGTGTCTGTTGTTTTAATAGTTAATGGTTTTGAAATTATGCATCAGTAAGTTTTGGATGTGATATAAAAAGATGCTGTTGTTGATTTACTTTTCTTTATGAAGTGTCTTCTGTGCAATTATCAAAATCTGGCTTCAATGACGAACGGACGGTTTTATTATCTGTGGATTATTTGAAGCAATTTATAACTAAAACCTTATTCCAATCTATTTAGGAAAGGGTCCAAAAGAAAGTGAAATATCTACAAATAGGTATCTAAAAGCCTAAACTTTTCTAATAAAAGATTTTACTCATAATATCAAGTCTTAGCTTCAAAGTATTAACACTATTTTAAGTTCCAACTTACTTCATTTTGGATCTTTCATTCTACGTCCTATTTAAACCCTTTATACCAAGTTTGTTCCTATATTTATACCTGTGCATGTAACTGAGGGGTCAGAAGTAACCGTATAACCCTTCCCTGATCTTTTGTAAGCCCTTTGTTAACCAGAGTCAGTGACGCAGGATCTTTTTGCGTGTAACTTTTAACTTCAAACCGCTTTAGGGTCAAAGTTTTAGCAGTAAGGTTAGGAATTGAATGTTAAGTTAATGTTTGATGAAGATCAAATACTTCTTTGAGTATAGAATAGAATACAATAGAATAGATTATTTATTTGCTATGAATGTAGGTACAAATTATTAGGTGTTATAAAATTTTAAGGTTCCTTGTACGGTAAGGTAGAATGTAACATTCTACCATAATGTGTGTGTAGCCGTGTGTACAAGTCAGTTTGATCGTTTAGCAGACAATATAATGGTGTGTAGTGTTTAGTAACATTGTTCTCTTTGATAACACAATGAGATTATCAACAGCAACTACGAAAAGTAAACTTTAACTGTAGTATTAACCTTTTGATGTCAAAGGAGGTATGTTAATTTTGGTGTCCCTTACCCCAGTTGTAAAATTGTAAGATTTTAAACAATACTGTATAGTATAAAGTAAATCTATACAATGTATATTGTCGCGGAGAACCTAACGGGTAACCGGGGCTCCGGCTCGACGTGCAGGAGAAGGAACGGGGTGGTTTTTAGTCAGTAAGAGTCTGACACTCCCTCCCGCCTCACCCACGCGGGAGCAGACAAGTTCGATGATTTCCCCCCCTTAAAAAAAATACAATGTATATTGTCATTATTTTATTACAAATATGTATGTTGTTATGTGGATTACATAAGTATTTTTTTTAAAACGTTGCCCCACTCTAGGGTTTAGTCCTGAATCGTGGGTGCGTTTACAAACATACAAGTTCACATACACACGACACCCAGACACGGAACAACAATTTGTTGATCACACAAAGAGTTGCTCCGTGCAGGAATCGAACCCGCGACACATTGTGTGGCAGCCGGGCACTAACCGTGTTGTATCTATATTACTACATAAACCATTCTTTCTTAAACACATGTTCAGAAATCATTTCAAAAACTACCATTGCCAATCAAACTTACCTATCCTGAACTATAGTTAGTCTAAACAAGGAAACCTAACCTCGTATCTTGACCCTAAAGCACTAGAACCTAATAGAGCGAGACAGCGTCACAACCAAGACTCTCTATCTCTTTCTATTCGTTTGTGGAGTCCGTTTTGCTTCACAAATTAGTCGTGGGGCACTCATTAGCGACTAGTGCATTCAATGTTTGTGCAATCTTTGTGAATATGTAATGTAATGTATGGTCTTTTTTCTTTTCGTCTTTTGGATAATAGGACTTTTGGTATTGCAAATCTTTTTCCAAATATCCGAATGATGTGTTTTTCGACCTACAGTCTATTTTATCAGTTATTGCTTAAATCCAGATACAATTGTCAACTCCGTGCTAAACGGTGTGTATAATTTCATTACATAACATCACGCCTTTTATCCCCGAAAGGGTAGGCAGAGGTGCACATTATACCACTGTACAATGTAACACCCACTTTTCACTATTTATGTTATGAGTCCCATGTAGAGAGTAAGCTTATTGCCATATACACCGGGCACAATTCCAGACTCCGTGCTACTACTGAGAATATTTAAAAAACCCAGTAATACTTTGCCCGACTCGGGAATCGAACCCGAGACCCCTTGCCCGGCAGTCGCACTTGCGACCACTCGGCCAACGAGGCAGCATAATTTCAGTAGATATTATAAACGTTTAATATAAAAATACTTTGCCATCGCAGGAATGGGATCGATTTCAGAGTCAGCCAAATTACTAACGTTTCGGAAAGGTTTTTTAATGCAATTGGTTGGTTTATTCATTGCTTAACTTAAACAAAAAGTGGTTGATAAACACCCCTGCCTACCCCTTCTAGAAAGTACATTATTATAAATCAATGCAAGTAATTACAGGCTCCAATATTTATTTAAAATTTAATTAGTCTCTTGTTCAAATATTAATTTGACCTGCATAATAATATAATGTAATTGTCTTACTATGATATGATTGATTTTTGTTTTTATTTGGACATCGATATAAATATTTATTTTAGTTAAATATTAACATAAATTATATAAATATTAATATATTATAAAATCTACTTGCATTTATGTGTAATTAGCTTCTGCCCGTGACTTCGTACGCGCAATCCCATTTTCCCCCCGTTCCCGTTCGTGATTTTCGGTAAAAAGTAAAAAAAAGTATTGTATTAAAAGTATCCTATGTCCGTCTCCTGGCTCTAAGCTACCTCCCTACCAATTTTCAGCC